AATCCCATCTCTCACTGTGAAGGGGGAGATTTTCCCCACTACCAAAAGCTTAGCCTTCTAGTTCTGTCCAAGAGAAGACATTTTTCTAAATCGATTAGGATGCTTTGTAAATCCCAAATAGTCTATGGAGACGCATCTTACTAGATTCAGATTCAGAACACACTTTATGAATAATGACCTGTAAGATGACTCAAAACTTAAAAACGTGTAGACTTTTCATATACTGTTGCCTCTGCACCAATATGGATTGTTTGCTTATTTTATTGATGGTTGATTTAATCAGTGATAGTGAATAATTAAAAAATGCTTAATTTACCAACAGACAAGTTGATCTTTCTATTTTGCTAGTCATTGCTTTTACCACCTTTGTGATGTGCTAAAAGCTTGTCAGTTAAAGAAATGGACCTTTAGGTAAGAACAGAAATGTTAAGAAAGTATAATATATTAGATTTCTGTATAACTTGAGAACTTATGCGGGACCCAAAGGATACTGGACCAAAAAGTGTCTGGGCAGTCATTTAATGATTTAGCCTAACTGTAAGGCATCTGTCATGTGTAATAAAATAATATGCCATTATCTTTTTCCTCTGTGATTAAGTAAGGTTGTAGGCTCTCTCCTCCTCCACGCTTTCTATGTTATCAGAAAGATGTAGTGTACAGTAGAAGGGACAAGTTCTCCACTGCAGCACAACTGAACATATAGATTATGATGTTTTATAATGGAATTTTACTGTTTGAATAGCTGCAAATGCCCGAAGCCATAATTCTGCAATAATTACCATATCTTTGAGAACTTTCTGCACCATCAGTGAGAAAACAGAATTTTAAATTACCAAACAAAATCATCTTGAAAACCTAGTTTCTCCTGAGCCAATTTACTTTTTTCTAAGCCTGCCTGCTGATAAAAGGTGGCACATATATTCTGGTATAACAATAACATGCTTGGCCTCCTCAAATTACTTGGTGTTCTGCAAAAAATAAAAATCTCTCAATTCCACATATCTAAACCTTTTTATCACATCTCAGAATCCACTCTATTAAAGTAAAACCTAGAAAACCAGGGCCTGTCTACTGAATATGTAACTGGTTCACCAAGTTGTTCTCAATATTCCCTTTCTCTTTAAAATGAAGACACTTCAAAGAGGGGCCTCCTTACACATTTCGGGCAAGCCACTGTCACAATGAACTCATTTGGAATGGATTTTGGGACCCCTTTAACCCCCAAATTTCTGGATTTTATTTTCAATATGATCCATTTACTTGTCAGTCTTTTCTTTTATTCCATCTGTAAAGGCCACCTAACCATCACCTACTGTTTCATGGCATAACGTCTGAAACTAACCTGCTCAAATTTCTGACCTGCCAGTTTTGCACATCCTATATTCAAACTCATCATGTTCCCTCTCACTCCCACGTACTGTACATGCTGTCCTCTCTGCCTAGAAAATTCTTTCTCCACCCTGACTCCCTTTGCTCCACTAACTCTGGTTATCCTTCAGAATCCTGTTTGGATGTCATTTCCTCCAGGTGGCATTCCCTATGCCCCTAATCAGAGCTGGTTGTCACTCTTCATCCATCAGGCTCTGCAGCTCCACACTGTGCTTCCCAAGTTCACAGGACCTTCATGTTTATGGACACCACCTAGTTACCTGTGTCTGCGGTAAACTGGCTCTGAAGACAGGGAGCACATCCTCTTGTTCACTGCTATCTCCCCAATGTCTAGCACATTGCCTGCTCATAATGGCTGCTTAATAAAGAATGAACATGAGTAATTGGACAGTAGGTAAACATTAAAATATTTTTATAACCGCCTTATAATAGGATCAAGTTCCAAGTAAAATACTTTTGAGAATAACATCTAATGAAGTATTTTTAATTTGCGCTAATTACAAAGTCAATCAGAATATAGCCTTTCTTAATTTAAGCCAGGTTTGTTCTATTCGTTTAATGGAGTTGGCTAAATAGAAGCTCAAATAAGTGCTTGTTAATTATACTAATTAACAAATGGTTGCATTAAAATACACGAGCTAGGTAAAACCTAGTTGAAAGTCTGAATGCACTGTGTGCATGTAGTAAGCACCCACTAAGTAAGGCAGTTTCTCAAAGGGATCATTTTTGTTGCTTCACTTTTTCATGGGGGTATCTCTGAGTATTCAAGATCCATGATGAAGCACCTTTTGCAGATGGCCTAGGAGAGGGAGGAAGGCTGTTAACTCTGGAGGGTTTTTCCTTCACTTTTAGCAACATACAACTAATAAATTTCATGGCTAGTATCAAAGAGGAGATATCGCATCCTACCACCCCCTAAGAATCCACTGGCAGATCTCCCACACATATGAAGAAAGTCTTAAGATTTCCTCCTTTACACTCTATCTTGTAAAGAAGTTTGTTTGCCAATATGTCATCAGTAGCATTTATTTCCATAATCCTAGATTTGACATTTCAGCTCAAAAGTTACTTCCTTAAAATAAAACTTCTCTGAATTCCCTGACCAAGTCAAATCCTAATGTTCTTCCCCAGAACCATTAGACTTCTATGACTTTTTTGACAACTGATTAATCTATCAAATTCCTCCAGAATTCTAGACCTTGAGCTCTCCAAGGACAGGACCTATGTCTTGTTTTTGCTCCGCTCCGTATTCCCAGGGCCTGGTACAGAGCCTTACAAATGGTACTCAGAAAAACAGAGACCTGATAAGTAAATGATCCCAGAAGCCACTTTTCCCTAAGGGCATTTGCTGAGTCCAACAAATTCCAATTTCCATTTTTATGGCTTTGAAAGGTAATAGGAACAGAAATCACCCCATAAAAGGCATGAGTCTAACAAGAGATGCTCCTTACACCAAAGTGGAACCTAATAGCTATCCAGTGAGAATGAATGGGAAATTAACCAATCTTTTTGAAGAATTTAAGTCTGGGATTAACTTAGGTATCTAGAGAACTTCAAGCCATGACCTTGATTTTCTTAACCAGTGTGGTAACCAACAGGCACTTGCAGAAGCAAAAAAACAATTTTTTGCATTATTCATACAAATGTCAAATATTAATGACCAGCACACAGTCAAAGACAACCAGGCACACAAGTAAATACCATGAGAATAAATCAACAGAGACAACAAATAACAAAAAATAACATCTACACTAACACACATTTTATCTGATCCATCAGTGTCTCTGAACTGATCAATTCTCATACACCTTCACATTGCCCACCGTACTTTGAGCCACTAACAGCTCTCATCTGGATAACAATAGCCTTCTAACTGTTTTGCCTGCTTCATCTTATCTCCCTGTATCACTTCCCCTCCCAAAGCCAGAGGGATCTTTTATTTTTAATTTTTTTAGAGGCAAGTTCACGCTCTGTAGCCCATGCTGGAATGCAGTGGCACAACCACAGCCAACTGTAACCTCAAACTTCTGCCTCAGCCTCCCAAATAGCTAGGACTACAGATGTGCATGTCACCACATCTGGCTAATTTAAAAAATTTGGGTTTTTGTAGAGATAAGTCTTGCATGTTGCCCAGGCTGGTCTTGAACTGCTGAGCTCAAGCACTCCTCCTACCTCAGGTTCCCAAAGTGCTACGATTATTGGTGTGAGCCACTGTGTCCAACCCAGAGTGATCTTTTAGAATCTAGTCACATATCATTTTATACCTTAAAGCAGTGTTTTTCGATCTTTTTTATCTCCTGGCACACTTGAACCTATAGTTAAACTTCCATGGCACACTTAAATTATGTTGATCAACAAAAAAGAGTAAAAAAGAATATACTTACTATGCTTTGATCTTTTGAAGATAATTAATGATCTTTAAAAAATTTTGCAGCACACATAAGATCCTCCCACAGCACACCAGTTGAAAATCACTGCCTTAAACTTCTGTCACCTTTATTTCACAGAATAGAAGCCAAAATCTCTAATGGTCTTTAAGAATCTATGCCATCTGGGACCAGGCCCTGCTTTTTGAGCCATGACCTACTCTCCTGCTATTCTGTCCTTTGTTCACCTCACTCTAGCGACGTCAGTCTCCCTGTCATTCATTCTTCAACCTGCCACGTTTCTTCCCACTTACGGTCTTTTCACTGACAATTCCTTCTATCTCCTAACCCAGTCTGCATGATGAAAAACTAGTTTCAGGTTGTCTGGGGGCAGGACCAGGCATTAGTTTATTTGTTAAATGTTCTGTATGTCTTTAAAATAATCAAGATAATTGTTATCCTTGAGTTGGTAACTGTTGAGACTGAGTGATGGGAGACCATTACTATCCTCTTAAACAAGTATAAAACAAAATAAAAGCGTCCATGGTGATTCTAATGGGCAGCAGGGTTAGGAGCCACTGGTGTATAATCCCCAAACTAGATCATTTTGCCTATAAATAATTGAGACATTTCTATTTGAAAGGTTGTTTTAATGAATTAAAAAGATACACAAAAGATGAAAAACATCAAATTTACTTTCTGAAATGGAAGGAAAAAAAGAATGTGTTTGAATTCACTTTGTAATATACATTAACAAACAACTGTTGCAGGCCTACTTGTTTCAACTTAGCTCCCAACATTGTGGCATCTGAAGGAAGGAAAAGATTTCTGGCCCTTGGTTCCCAGAACCTGAAACTTGAAAGAGAACAGTGAAACACATACCCCGAACTCAATCCTCCTGGGTCACTGCAGAGCTAAAAGCAGAACTCTCTAATGGTCATTTGCAGAGTGAGGTCTTGCTATAACTTCCACTAATGCTAAACCCATTTCGAGGTAAAGTGCAGAGGAGTGAAATTCTCTTATCTGAACTTGAAATTATCAAAGGAGACATCTTTCTTTTTTAAAAAATAAACCACTCAAATAAAATGATTGGTTTGAAAGATACTTGTTAATAACCTAACAAGGAAAAATTAAACCATCACTCCCCACCTTATTACCATAGTAATGCAACTCTATAAAAATGTTAACTTAAGTCTTTGAGGAGTCAAACTACATGAATTCTATCAAAAATGGCTATTGAGATGATTAGATTTGATGTGAGCTCCCCTCAGAAAACTGGGGGACCTCCAAAGATTGGCTTTTGGATGGACTATTCCCACTCGCACTTCCCAGATGGCTGCTGATGGTACCCAGCTGCTGTATCACTGTGCTCAGGTCTTCGTGGAGTCGAACTATTGCACTTTTGACCTCCCCTAGAAGAACCATAATGGAATTGCTTGCTTCAGGTTCCCTGGGCAGGCCTTTGGTTATTGGAAAACTAGAACAGGACAGAGAGGTGAAGTGGTCTACATTTGGGGTGGAAAACTCTACCCAATTATTGCTAGATCCATGACTTGTCTTTTTAGCAGAATCAGAGTTATCTGGAAGAATTTCCAGTTGGTTGAGGTTGCCACTTTCCTCTTCATCAGAAGACACTGGGCCCCTAGGAGCAAAGGGGTGATGAAGCTTGGTTGTCTTATCTCCATCTTTAAAGGGAGCAAAAGAGAACTGTTGATGGGGCAAAGTCCAGAAGGAAGGTCTGGCCAGAATTGGGGGTAAGAGATGAACCGACTTCTCTGGAGAGGATGAATCAGGAGATGACATGGATAAAGTAGAAAAGGAAGATGGTTCCTCAGAGGTAGTTGAAACTAAAATGTATAAACGAGAAAGATTTATGCAATATACAAATGAGAGTAATAGCTAAAATAATTTTATAATGTAAAAGCCTATCTGGAAGGTCTCAACATAAATAAACTACTTAGAATTTTAAATGTTAAGTATTCACAATAAGTCTAAAAAAACCCAAAGCAGGAAACTGAGAAAATCTACAGATGTATTATATATCAATAATACCATGGAAATGAAACTAAAATAGATTTATCAATATTCATCTTGACTCCCAAACCCTGCCCAACATATTTTTACTCTAAACTTAATTAGAGAAAGCAGAAAAGTATTAAACCCCTTTCTACTGACTGCCAGCATTTTAAGTTGGTATTTAAAGTAGAAAGTCTGAGAAACCTGTAACTGTGATTCCTTCATCTTTCTCCCCCTACAGTGATTATTATGGCAAATGAACTACCAAGTATAAGACTATAAGTGCCCAAAAGTTAGTAAAATTAGTCTTTTTCTCTCTGTGGTCAAATATAATCAAGACTCAAGTCCAATCCATTTGAGATCATTTTCTCTAAGAAACCATAAGTAAAATAAAAAGCATTCTAAACCTATTTTCTATAAAATTAAAGATTTGAGAAAATTTTTACTTCCTTTTAGGCAAAATTATAGCAAGCCTCTTCTCTCATACTTCATTCTAAATCATCATTTCCCAGACTATTCTGAGGAACACTGTGTTCCTTAAGATGTTGGAAGACATTTTGTGGAACAGGGTTTCGCAGTAAAATAAGACGGGGCATCTGTATACTGTACCTCCCAATAGGTGATTAATAACATTCATTAACACATTTAAATTTCTGAGAAATTTATTGTAATTTTTTCAAATGTTTTCCAAACTTTCTTTTTTCCCTAAGAAATATGGTCTTAGGTTGTTGCCTAGGCTGGGCAGGCTGGAGTGCAGTGGCATGATTATAGCTCATGCATCCTTGAATTCCTGGGCTCAAGCTATCCTCCTGCCTCAGCCTGTGTACTCAGCTAACTTTTAAATTTGCAGAGACTGGGTCTTGCTATGTTGCTCAGGCTGGTCTTGAATTCCTGGGCTCAAGTGATCCTCTTGCCTCAGATTCCTAAAGTGCTGGGATAATAGGCATGAGCCACTGTGCCTGGCCAACTTTCTTAAACATAAAACTTTTTTCCTTTAGGATATTTATACTCACTCGTGGCATGTGGTACAAATTAGTGAAGTCCAGATCTAAAGTCTTTGCAACTAACTCTGAACTTGCTACTTTAGAGAAACCAAACTTATTCATTATAACTCATAGAACAGGGAATTTGATGCTTATCACTTAGCACATGTGACTTTCTACATTATTTTGTTTTGCTTTACATATTTGTGTCCTTTCTAAACTAAATTGAACCTCCTATAATAATTATGGCCAAAGCAGGCAGCTTCTATTTACTGCCCCCAAATACTGCATGGCCTATCTCTAGTTCTCAGGAAAAATTCCAATCATAAAACTTCTGGGGAATGAAATGAATATTCTCAGCTGATGCAGCAGCAGGACATGAAAAGCAAAGCAGGCACTTCATCGGCACATGGTCAAGGCAAGCCAAGAATACTTAGAATCTAGGTCAGGCTAATCCAGACATTCTCTCCTTTGGTTAAAAAGATGGATGATGGTAGTGGGTGTGTCAGTGAAGACAGCCTCCTGAGTTTGTGTCCCAAATCACACTAAGGGCCTCTGAACTGGGAATGCGGTGTGTCTGGATCACCGCTGTCACGTGACATGCCCTGTCGCCATCCTTCTGTGTTGGCTCTCCTGTTTTCTGTGTCCCATGTTATCGTTCTCTTCCTGGGTTTACTCTCAGTTTGGTATACATCTTCTCCAGTAGCTCAATGAAAAAGGATGTATGAAAGTTAAACCTTTGAGAACCTGCATCTCTGAAAAGTACATGTCTGAACTGCACTTTTAGGTTTAATGATTGTTTGGATAAAGAATTCTAGGTGGGAGATCCTCTTCTCTCAGAATGCTGAAGCCCACATTTCACTGTCTTCTTGTTTCCAGTTTTCCTGCTGAGGAGTTGGAGCCATTCTAATTCTTACTTGTTACACATAGCCTACTTATCTCTGAAGTATTACAGAATTTTCTCTTTACTCTTTGGTGTTCTAAAGCTTCTCAGAGATGTGCCCTGAAATGGGACTATCTCCATTCATTAAAGTCCAGTGAAAGTGGTACTTCCAATCGGGCAACTTATCTCCTTTGGCTTCAGAAACTCTTCTTAAATGATTTAATTATTTTCTCCTTTGTTTTCTCTATCATCTCTTTCTGGACCTCCTTTTGTTCAGGTATTAGAGCTCTAGGACTAGTCCTCTAATTTTCTTTCCAGTTGTCCCTACTTTTCTTGGAGATTTTGTCAACTTTAGCTTCCAATTCTACCACTGTGCTTTCCATTTCTGCTATTATATTTTTAATTTCCAAGAGCTATCTTTTCCTCAGAAGTTCTTTTTGTATAACCCTGCTCTTGTTTCATGGATATATTGTATTTTCTTATTTCTTTGAGGATATTAATGATCAGCTTTAAAAAAAGTTTTCAAAAATCAGTACAACAAAAAGACCCTCATGTTTCTTGCAGTACTATTCACAGTAGATAAGATAGGGAGTCAACCTAGGTTTCCACTATCTCTTCCCCTTTCCCTGAAAGTTTAGTGAAACTTACAATTAAATAAGATTAATAAGAGACCGGTTTATTTACTGTGTGCATGGGGAGAATCACAGGGTGATTATTCAATATCCCAGTGGGATCCCGATATTTTTATACATTTTTTTAGAGGGGAGAGGGAGATGAGCAGCACAGGTGATCCTGCTTAGGTGTGATAAGCAGTTACTAGGGAAGATGAATGGATGGGGGAAACAGATTGACCTGTAAATTAACCTGAGAGACGGGTTATATTTTAAATACTTTGGGTCAGGTCTGGTTACATTCTTGATTTTCTTTCCTGAAATATATTGAGATAACGGGGAGGGGAAGGGAAGTCCAATGTTCTTTTTGATTGGTCTGGTTTATGTCTCTGTTAATCTCTAAGAGCCTTTAGTTTAAAATATTCTTTTTACCAAGGAGTCATATCTTGGGGTGAAATTTCCTGAGCTCCTTCATCAACAACAGTTGAATAAATGAGGAAAATGTGGTATATATACACAATGAAATACTATTCAGCCATTAAAAAAACGCAATCATGTCCTTTGACGCAACATGAGTGGAGATGCAGGACATTATGTCAAGTGACATAAGCCAGGAACAGTTAAACACTGCAGGTTCTCACTCATATGTGGACACTACAAAAAATGATCTCAGAGAAACAGAAAATAGAACAAAGGATACTAGAGGCTAAGAAGGGCAGTGGGACGGTTGGTAGGGAGATAGGGAGAGATCTGTTAAAGGCTACAAAGTCAGGGCTACATAGGAAGGATGTGTTCAAAGGTTCTACAGTACTGAGGGGGAATATAGTTAGCACTAATATGAAGTCTCAAATAGCCAAGAAGAGGGTACTGAATGTTCCTGAAAGGATGGACTTGCTAAAATAACAGAAAAACACCAAGAACAGAAAAATTATCTACCTCACAGGTTCTCAGTAAGGGCTAAGGTCTATCATATTAGCTTTCCATCTCTCTCTCTCCCTCTCTTGCTGATAGCCCGTGGGGGGGCTCTATTTTCACAATATCTGGAAAGGGCTAAACTGACAGAGAGGAAATGTAAATTTTTAGACCTATTGACCAAAACCTGCCTTTTAGAACTTTCTTTTTATAGCCTTGGAGAGTTCCTGAACAGATTGCGGGGGGTGGGGGAGTAAGGTGCAAGCAGGTCTCAGTTCCTGCTCAGAAAGCCATTTGGTATTCATGGTCACTTTCTTCTGTGGTTTTGGTTATAATACTCACACCCTTGACTCTCCTAGCCTCTCTCATTTCAGAGACCTTCCATCTACTCTCTTCAGAAAACAAATCTCCAGATTCTTCCAGGGTTTATGGAAGTGAGTGGGCATTCAAGGCAGTTGTTCATCTGTCTGGAAAAGTAGAGAAATCTAAGGATTTAACTACTTTTCAAACAGCTGTTTTCTAATTCTCTTTATTTAGCATATAATGTGCAGTAGGTTTTATAATCCCATTTTAAATGAGGCAAAGGAAACTCAAACAGGCTAAAAGTGTTTCCCAAGATTGGTTATAAAAGGGCAGGGATGGGATTCCAACTCAAGTCTCTCTAATGCCAAAGCATATGATCTTAATCAGATGCCATACTTCTACACCATTCTATGATATTATAATTATTTTTACTCATAATTATGTCAAAGTTGGGCTATAAAATTTAGAAGGCTAGCAGCCAGGATGGTGAGGGGACTTGACATCTTATCTATAAAGAATGGTTGATAAATAGATATGTTAATATTACCCAAAGAGACAGTAGGAGAAAGGGGAAGAGGGTATATTCAATTATTTGAAGATAGTTACAAAACCTTAATAATAATAACTTCTACTTCTCATATTTTTCATGAGATAGTACTGGCATCATCAGGTGAAAGTTACAGGAAAACAGATTTTAGCCTAATTAATAGCAAACTTTCTAATAGTCAGAATTCCCCAGGCAAGGAATGAGCTGCTTTGGGATATGGTGAGTTTCTTAATACCCAAGAGCTCATGCACAGCCTGAATGGCCACTTGCCAAGGATGTTGAGGCAAAATTGGTGCATCAGGTGATAGAACTATATGTTTTTGATGAGATTCTGAGATTTATAGGATCCAAAACACATCTGTGAAAATACTAAGAAACTATTCTAGAAAGAGAAGGATTGAGTTCACTCTGGTCAGAAAGAATGATTTAATAAGAAACATTTAAGTAGACCAAGAGGAAAATGATATTTGAGTCAAATATTAATATCATGTCATCTACTTACAGATACAAAGTTATGCTAGTCACCTATATATGATGTGACAAAAAAATCTGGTATTTAACTTTACGCTGGTGATTCTTGAAGTGTGATAAT